AAAATTATTACTTTCCGTGCTTGGGTGCTAAGTGTACACATGCCAAGTTTAGCATGTCCAGGCATCTGTAATTCATGGTAGTCAATAATTAAGCTCAAAATCACAGGTTACAGTTGGACTTGGAAACCAGCAGATCTTATTAGTATTATTACCTACTTATTATCGTATTAGCACTCAGCACTTGTTTCGACCCTGTCCTCTAAACCCACCCAACACTAATCTAATCTATAAAGAAAAAGTAAATGTTTTATCCTTCAATCATCAGTTTTGTGATTCCTGTTAAAAATTAATTTACAACAGATTTGATTTTTGCATTTTTTTTGATGGCACTTTGTTTTTAATGGCAACAAGCGTTTGTAAGTTGATAGTCTATTCAAATGTATGTGATTAGACTGTGTTTTCTCCACCTGGGGGACTTCAAAGTTATTTACCACAATATTTTTTGAGAGATGAAGAATAGCTTATACTTGGTATCAACTTTTTTTTTTTACACTAACAGTGATAGGGACAAGTGTATTTTTGACTCCTCAACCCTTTACCATCATTTAATCTAATCATAGTGGATTTGTATTTTGGCTTCATTTGTCAGTTTCGATCCATTGCCATCAATAAACTTTCTGGGAAAAAAGTTACAATCTTGGCTGTGAAAATTTCAATTGGACCAGTATCAACAGCCTTTTAATAACAGATTTCTAATTTTGAACCTGTTGTTTTGTTCTGGATTCTCACATTAGAAGAAATAATTTCGCTCTATACACCCTATCAAATCCATTTTGTCACTTTCAAATAGCTCAATGAGATCATCCTGGGAAGTGACTATGCATCAAAGAAAACTATTTCTTCGGCTGTGACGTATTTTGAAACTTTGAGGTCATGAGCGTTTCTGTATAATTTCAAGCCTCTGGTTATTTTCTAAGGCAAGTTTCTGCATCCTAATTTTTAACCCTTTAAATCACACTATCATTCTGGCAAATCTGGCTATCATTCTGGGCTGCAGTGTGCATTGGCCAAAATTAAATGCAGTACTTTAAGTAGGGCTTAGCCAAGGCTTTGTATGCTTAAGTATAGCTTCATCTTTTTTGTATTCTGGTCTTCTTGAGATATAGTTCAAAATTGTATTAGTCTTTCTGGTTCTATTTTTGTTCTTGCCTTGTAGCTTTTAGCAGTTTATATGACCGGACACTGAAATCTTCTTCATCTGTCACAGTTCTTCATGCCTTGTATTTAAAATATAGTCAGCGTCATCTGTATTGTACAAAAAAATGGATGACCATGTACATATGCTTTCCTTTTTCCATAGTCCGTTATAATGTTAGTAGCAACCAACTTTCAAGGGGCTACGTTCCCTTTCACATTGTTTACTTGGACTTTAATAAAGGCTTTGACAAGGTTCAACGTGGTAGATTAATGAGTAAACTTAGATCACGTAGGATTCAGGATGAGCTTGTCAATTGGACACAAAGTTGGCTTAACGGCAAGACACAGAGACTGATGGTGAAGGGTTGTTGGACTGGAGGCCTGTGACCAGCAGTATTCTACAGGGATTGGTGCTGAGTCCACTTTTGTTTGTCATTTACATAAATCATTTAGATGAGAATGTAGAAGGCGTGTTTAGCAAGTTTGTGGATGACACCAAAGTTGATGGTGTAGTGGACAGTGAAGAAGGTTACCTAAGATTACAAAGAGATCTTGATCAATTGGGTCCATAGGCTGAAGAATGGCGCATGGAGTTTAATTTGGATAAATGTGAGGTATTGCGTTTTGTTAAAACAAACAAGGGCAGGACTTAGACAATTAATGGTAGAGCCTTAGGTAGTGTTGTAGAACAGAGACCTAGGGGGCAGGTACATAATTCTTTGAATTTTGCATCACAGGTAGACAGAGTGATTAAGAAGGTGTTTAGCATGATTTGCCTTCATTCCATACTAACCCCTTTGAGTATAGGAGTTAGGACATTATATTGAGTTGGTACAGGATGTTGGTGAGGCCTTTTCTGAGGTACTGTGTCCAGTTCTGGTCACCCTGTTAAAGGAAGAATATTATTAAGCTGAAGAGGGTTCAGAAAAAATTTACCAAAATGTTGCTGGGAATGGAGAGTTTGAGTTATAAGGAGAGGCTGGATAGATTGGGGTTTTCTTCACTGGAGGTTGAGGGGTGATGTTATTGAGGTTTATAAAACCATGAAGGGTATCAATGTCTTTTCCCTAGGGTGGGAGATTTCAAGTTTAGGGGCCATATTTTTAAGGTGAATAGAGACTTTATAAAGAATGCGAATGGCAATTATTTTTACACAGTGGTTCATGTGTGGAATGAACTTCCAGATGAAGTGGTGGATGCGGGTACAGTTACAATGTTTAAAAAATATTTGGATAAGTACACAAATAAATGTTTGGAGGGATATGGACGAAGCGCTGGCAGGTGGGACTAGTTTAGTTTGGGATTATGGTTGGCATGGATTGGCTGGACTGAAGGGTCTGTTACTGTGCTGTATGACTCTCTATAACTAGTCTCTCAGTTCATTCTTAAATAGATTTTTTTTACTGTGGGCTTAATGTCCTTTGCAAGGTTTATTTTTATTCCCTTTTGCACCTTATTCATTTCTTTATATCCTTTTATTTCTTTGCATAGTTTTCTCAGTAAGTTGGATTTGCACTATCCCATCTGTCATGAATGCTGCTTTTCGTGAGCATTTTTTGTGCTCCTGAAGCCAATACTCTGAGAAGATAACATTCAGGGCTCACTCAGTCAAATGTTAACAACATTGGAGTTATTAGAAAATTAGTTGCGTGAAATATGTATCAAAATGGGTGGGGCTAATTGCAAGATTTTCAGTAGGTTACTCAGGACAGTTTAATGGCACTGAAGTGGAGCCACGTGATGGCCGTGAAACTGGAAGTCGAAGATATGTGAGGGACAGAAAGATGTTTATGTATCGGAAGCAATTCAGATAGGGCTTATAGACTAATACTTGGAATGAACAGATTATTTTATGAGGGAAGACTCATCAGGCTAGACCTGTACCGTCGAGATTGGAAGAGTCAGGTGAGACTTAATTAAAACATATAAGATCCTGAGGGAACTTGGCTAGTTGGATATTGAAAGGGTGCTTCCTCCCTCTTGTGGGGAAGTCTAGAAGTAGCGATCAAAGTTTAAAATATGGGGGTACCCAGTTAAAACTGACTTAAAATGTTTTTTTCTGAGGTTTGAGAGTCTTTGGAATTCTTTTCTTCAAAAGTCAGTGGCTGCAGAATCTTTAAATTTTAAAATAAAAGACAGAGCTACATAGACTCTTGATCACCAAGGGAACAAAAGATTATTGGGGATAAACAGGAGTGTAGATTTAAGGTTAAAATCACTTCAGCTAAGATCTTATTGAATGGTGAGGCATGCTCAAAGGGTTGAGTGGTTTACCCCAGTTCCTTCCTCTCTTATGTCCTGTGAACTGCACATTAAGTAATGCTGCTTTTGGCTGTGCTGCTAGGAGGGCACCTAAACTGAGCAGGTTATGTCTTAGGGACTCGATAAGACATCCCAAGAACAGTTGGATAGCTTTGTGAAATTGGGACTGAAGCAAGTCCTGGAAGCTGTTGAGGCTCCGTAAAGCCTGCAAGTAATGAATTGGTTTTGTTAATCTCATTCAGAAATCAAAGCTTTCTGACAAGTTTTGTTGTTTTTCTTTAAGCGGCAATTATTTGTTATATATTCCATAATAGAAAATTTCACCCTTATCTTTTTGACAAAAATAAATACCTTTCAGGTTCCTTTTCTGATATTCCAAGTCACTTGTGTTTCCCAGAAATGTTATTGATGAACTAAAGGAAATTGAGTACACAAAAGACATCCAAAGCTGCAAGAAGTAAATCTTAACAACTTCATTGAGTAGAGTGCACAGAAGTAAACCATTTAGTTAAATTGATCTGGACTTTATGGATAAGCCTTCATTTAACTTCATTTAACTCTATTTGCATAACCTTCTATTCCTTTATTTCCTCAAGCTTCTCTTGTTTTCTGATGCTTGTTTCTTCCCTCATCTACTCTTTTTTTTTTTTTAATGTTTTCTACACTCTTTTTGAGTAAAGACATTTATTCCGAATTCCCTATTAGATTTACTGGTGTTGACGATGTGTGTGCATGAATGTTAATATGCATATATACTCTGGTTTTGTATTCCCCACAGGTGGAAATATTTTTTTTCTATATCCACCCTGTTAAACTCTTGCAAAATTTTGAAAATCTCTCTCCGGTTATTCTCAACTCTGCATAGAAAACAGGCTCAGCTTGTTGTACCATTCATGAGAAAGATTCCTTCTCAGCTTTTGAGGTATCATTCTGGAAAACTGACTTTGTTCATGTCAATGACTTTGTATCTTTTTCATAATGAGTTTGGATTGTTCACAGTTTTCCAAATGTGACCTAACCAGTGTTCAAGCTTTGCTTAACATCAATCCTGCCTGAAGCAGGAATTGACTGACACCATGCTTGGTTAATGACTCGGTGACGTAGGTCTGTTTTTTAAGCTCCTCATTTTAAGCATGGCATTTGAATGCAGTAAGTTTTTAGATCAGTTTCTGGTATCTAGCAGCCATGCTGACAAAACGTAGACTGTTAAAGAATTAGGTTGAAGTGCTGTTGAAGAAATCTGTATAGGATGCCACTTTCCCATATTATGGTGAGTATTAATATATAACTTAAAAAATTGATGACTGTCTTTCACAGAATATCAAAGTTATTACAGCACAGCAGGAGGCCATTTGGCCTATAGTGTTTGCCTGAATGAACATCTAATCTAATGCCATTCTCTTGCTTTCCCTCATAACCCCTCACATTGTTCCTTTGCAAATAACCATTGGGTTTACCTTTTGAATGTCTTATTTGAACCTTTCTGCACCACACTCATTCAGTACCCTAATCTTAATATTTTAAATATTTTTACACTATTTTTATTTAAAGTTAATTTTAAATGTGTGATTTACCTTTAATGATTTGTCTTTCTATTACAGAACAGTGACAATTATTCATCAGATATCATGCAGTATTTAAATGTGGATGATATTTTTGAAGCACCTTGCATGCAGCAATGTCAAGTTGGAGATACTTCTGTGGCAAATAATCAGGATAAACATAAAATGCATCAATTAATGAAACCTAGATGTGACAGAAGGAAATGTGTTGAGAAGAATAACATTTTTTGCAAGTTAACAAATAAAGCTAATGTATGCACTCTTTCTAAGATGAATAAAAGGACAAAAGTCCGGTGTTCACCATCTTGTCCTAGAACTGCAAACTCTGCAGAAACCAAAGAAGCTGCATTTACCATTAAGGGAAATACTTCAAAATCAAGCGAACAGATCTGTCAGTCGGAGGAAAAATTTAAAGAGGACTTAAATGGTGAAATACAGAAAGCAACTAAGTTTAGTGGGGCAGACACAACAGAAATCTTGGAGAGTCCCATGAAAATCTGTATAAATGTAGATTCTGCTGGAAGCAAATCAATAAGTTCTGAATACAAAATTGTTGATGCAAAGGAGAAAGAACAAACTGAGTGTCACGATTATGAACCAGTAAAAGATTACATGGTAAAGGAAGTAGTGGCTGGAACACATGATCTGGTTTCCAAATGCAATGTTTCAAACTGTGTCAGTTCAGACTCCAGTAGCTTAATTAATGAAATGTCAACAAATGGTATCAATCTGTCTAAACTATTCTATCTACCGGATGCGCCCATAGCTCGGGGCCACGGTTCAGGGCGCACATCTTCAAATACAGATTCTCAAAGGTATTCTTTCTTACCAGATGTTGAACATCCTAATTACGATTATGATGTGCAAGTTCCTACTGGTGTAGAAATAGTTTTGGAAAGAGTAAAATCATTTCTTGCTACCTCTCCCCCTAGACTAGACATGCTTTCTTTTTGCAAAGAAGTGAATTATGAAGAAAATAATATTTCAAAAATCCCACCAAAAAATTCTTTAAATTCTGGCCAAGGAGGCAATCAAGTTTTCAGTGGTTCACCAGCAACTAATATTAAACCAACAGATTTAATGACTTGTAGAGAGCCTGAGGATTTGAATGATCGTGTTGACATGCATTGCAGTCCTTCCTGGGATGATTTATTCGACAGTAATATTGAAGAACACTTGGATCAAGATTATCAAGCTCAATCTGGTGTAAACCAAGAAGAATTACCTGATCCTTTGCACAAGTATCGTAACTCCCCTGATAAAAACAAAAACAGAACCAGTAAAATCTTCAAGGACTGTACAAATGACAAGCTATTTGCATTTGAGGAAAGCTTGCCTTTGTTTGAAGATGAACCATCATTTGGCAGCCTTTTGTCCCATCATGCTGCCAGCTACAAAAATTGTGCGATCGGAAAGGATGTCTCTGAACTGATAAGGCATTCTACTGGGTTGAACACACCACTGCTACATGCCCAAGCAGTTCCTAATAATTTAAGAAACCATGAAACTGAACACAACACAACTTGCAGGCCATTTTTGCATCAATCATTTCATAAACAAATGCTTTGTGAAAATTTGTGCATTGAACAGCATAGATCAATGATTGATAACAGCAATGTGTACAATTGTTCAGAGGAAATCTTTTCTGTCAACTTTGATCTGGGCTTTTCATTTGAAGACTTAAATGAAAATAGTGATATTTCAGTAACCAATACAGTTTACAACAAAACGACTGAATTGTCAGAACATCCTGCAGGCAAATCATCTTCTGATAACACAGATATAATAAAGACAGAACTAGTTGAATGTATCCCTGAGGTTCAGAAAAACCACAACAGCAAGATTATTTCAAAATTATTTGAAGCAGGGACGAAAGTAATGAGAGATTGTTCAACACCAGAGTCTGGAAAGCATACATCCTTAACACCAAGCAAAATAGAAACCTTGCATCTTAACAACATTTGTTGGGCAACACCAGATTCAGCTCTGTTCTCTCCAAAATATCAGTCTGATCTTCCGGTACCCTCAGTCTTTTCTCCAGCTGTTGCATCTTTTACAACACCAGAAAAAAGGGGTTCGTCACTCAAACTCTGTGATATGACTTGCAGCAACCCACTGTTTAAAAATGATCTAGTAATTAGCCAGCACCCTGCACTAAATGTCACAGAGGTTTTAGTTGATAAAGGATCTTTGAAAGAATCAGCAGCCTCATCTAACACTTGCGCTGCAATCCACAGCGCACCGAGAAGTGAAAAGCATGAAAAGGAGTCTCTTACAAATAAAAAGAATATTTTTTGCAAAATTCTTGAAGCATCTTTTAATGGTGAGCTACTTAATTTTATTTTAAGATCATCAGTATGTTGGAATTTTGTTTTTCTTTAATTTGATATCACTTAGTTATAAATTCTACTGAAAATAGTCATTTCTTTTCCAATGCTAGGTTTCCCTCTGATTCTCAATTCAGGCTGCAATTACGTTATGACAGTAGCATTGATACCAGTGGAAAAACCATGAAGTACTGTTATATTTGGCTATAAATAAATCCTTAATGTGTTATACCTCTGTGTTGCTGGACTATTTATATTAAAAATAGTTAATACGAGTACTGCTCCGGTTCTACTATCTCATGGATGTCTTTGTGTATATATTACATGCTGTGTGCAAGCTAGACTTTGATCCCTATCTCTGTCTTCAGACTTGAATTATTCAACATACAAGTGAATAGTGACCATTTAAATAAGGTACTAGAAAGTGATTTGTCACATGGGAAACCATGCCCCACAAGTAGTCAATGCTCTTGGAAAGGGTGTGATGTAATTGGTGAGGAAAACTTGAGAAAGGGAGGAAATAATTCAAGGTGTTACACAGCTTGATATTAGTAAAGGCAAGCCAGGTTTGGATTTTTTTCATTCATTTGTTGTATCTAATATAGATCAGAGTTTCATATCTTTTGATATATCGTAGTAAGAAGTGACTAATTTTTTTTAGAATAAAGGGATAATAATGTTTACCTTAATACAAACTTTTGTTTCCACATCCCCGTTAATGTTTTGAATAATAAAATTTTGATATTTAATGGCTGTAAAGCCTTGACTTCACACTCGCTCGTACTTTAAGTGAAAGGTTTGAAAACTTTTATACTATTAACAACATTCCTCTGTTACCAGCAATAGTGTGTATTGAATGCTGTGCAGCCAGCTATGATGTTGCAGTTCACTTGGAGTCGCATGCTTTCACATGCGTCTTTTGTGGTCCTGAGCTGTGGATAGTGACAATTGAGAGTCCAATGTTGTTTCTATCATGTGGTGGACCAGGAATTTCTCCTGCTGTAACTGCCTGCTGTTGGCATATGTTTAAAGGATTTGATGGTTGATGATCAACCTTGTCCAGTAATGAGCGCATCTTCCTTGACTGTCAAGTCTTGATGCGACTTGACCCCAGAGCTTTTGGCTCAGAAGCATGCATACTGAGCCACAAGACTGCATTTGCAGCTGTGTTGGAATCTTTGAATACAGTATGAGGGCTCTGCACTGGAATCCAAATGTGTAGCTTTAGCAGATAGTTTGATGTTTGATCAAATGAGAACTTTGCAATATAATTGAAACCTTTAGGAACTTTATTTTCTATCATACCAAACCCAGAATTTTAATACAATTACTATTCTGCTAATTCAGCAATTTATTATTGACAATTTAGCTATGTGAGGCCCAGTGGGGAATAGTGACAATGATAGGATAGAATTACTCATTGGAGGGTGACATGATTAGTTTGAATTGCTGGTCCTTAATCTAGATAATGGAAACTACGATATTATAAGGTGTGAGCTTGTTATGGTGAGATGGGGAACGTTACTTCGGAGGATATCGGTAGAAAGCTAATGGCAAACATAGAGTGCATGGATGAACTGCAACAATTGTTCATTTTTGTTTTGGTGTCAAAGCAAAACAGAGAATGTGCCCCAACCATGGCTAATGAGGGAAATTTGATTGTATTACATCCAAGGAAGGGGCTTATAAAATGCCCAAAAAGGCTGCCCTGAGGATTGGGAGCAGTTTAGATTTCAGCTAAAGAGAACAAAGGAATTGATTATCAGGAGTGAAGTAGAGTATGAGAGTAAGTTTATATGTTCCCTGCAAGCTAATTGCAAAAGCTTTTGTTGTAATGGGGAACTAAGATATAGCCGACCAATTAAATACATAATGTCAGAGATAGTAGGAACTGCAGATGCTGGAGAATCTGAGATAACAAGGTGTAGAGCTGGATGAACACAGCAGGCCAAGCAGCATCAGAGGAGCAGGAAAGCTGACGTTTCGGG